AACGATGTATAAAAAAAAAAAAAAAAAAATTATTTCATTGACCTTCTCTTAATGTTGTTTTTGTTTATGTTTATGTTTATGTTTGTGTTTTTTTTTTTAAATAAATAATTCGATTAAATTAATTTGAAGGAAAAATCTCGAAAGGAATATTAATTAATACATTTTTATTTGTCGAAAAAATATTATTTATACACATTGGGAAAAAAATTATCATTTTAATAAGTTATTGAAAATTATTACGTGAAAATCATTATTATTATTATTATTATTATTATTATTATTATTATTATTAGGCTCAGGTGTTTTTTTTTAAGCATACCTGATTTTTAATTCGCGGTGTGTAATTTAAACTTTTAATTTTATTTTGCTACTTGTTTTATTTGTTTTTGTTCATATAAAGCCACCCTTGAAAATTTTATTATTATTATTATTATTATTATTATTGGCATTCGAATTCAAATTTAGTGTAATTTTTGGCGTAGGAAATTTATTTTGAGAGGGGGGAGGAGTGAGGGGGATGAGGAGGGGGAGGGGAAAAGGAAAAGGAATTATTATTCAGTAGGATTGCGTGAAGAAAATTTTATGTTTAAATATTTTACAGTACCGTAACCTACGTGATATAATAATAATTTATAAAAATTAAAAATTAAAAAAAAAAAAAAAGAAAAATTCAAGGATTTGTACTTGGTCATTTAAAAAAAAAAAAAAAAAAAAAAAGGTGTCATTTGTATTTAATCGTTTTAACTGCCAGAAAGTGTTTAAAAAAAAAAAAATAAATAAATAAATAAATAAAATTTATTTATAATTGGTTATTAAAAAAATAAAAATAAATTTTAAAAACAAACCGCCTTTTTTTTTTTTTGGACGAAACGAATAAAAAATAAAGTTCCAAAAAAAAAAAAAATTATCATTGTTTTAATAAAATAATAATTATTAAATTAAACATAAATTTATTAAAACAAACAAAAAAAAATTGAAATTAATAAAAAAGTTTTAATTTTTTAGAATTATTATTATTATTATTACAACAAATGAAATCATCGTTATTATTATTATTATTATTTTTTTAATTGATGACTGATAAAAATTTATTTATTTATTTTGTTTAAATTTTTAGCATTATTAATATTTTTAATTTTAATGTCAATTGAAAAAAAAATTAGTTTATAAAAAAAAAAAAAAAAAAAAATTTGTTGTAAAAATGTTGCTGTTGTTGTTGTTGTTGTTTGTGGTTGTTAGTAATTTTTTTTTTTTTTTTTAATATAAATTAAATGAATTATGAATTTAATTATAACAATTTAAAAAAAATGTTAATTAATTCGAAATGATGATAATTTGTTTGTAGAATAAGAAAATTTATATAAAAAAATTTTTTTGACTCACCTGACATTGTGCATTCGTCTAATACGTAAACGTTTTCTTTAAAAAGCGAACAAATCAAAACCAATAACATTCTCATAAAATAATGTATTTCAAGTAATACATAAATTAATAAGGCACATAAAATTAATCCCAAAAATATAAAACAAAGCGTCATTTTAAATATTTTCTTTTTTTTTTACTTTTTACTTTTATTTTTCAAACAGCATCCTTTTTATTTATTTATTGATTCGATCGCGATTTATTTATTCACGACACACACGTTAAAAAGAAAAAAAAAAAATTTACAAAAAAAAAAAAAAATGGACTTAAATACTTTGCACGTTCATTATACTTTTTTTTTAAATTCAAAAAAAAAAAAAAAAAAGAAAAAAAGAAAAATATAAATAAATAAAAAAAAACTTTTTTTCTTTTTTTTTTGTTTGTTTTGTTTTGTTTTTAATGTTTTACCCTGTAAATATAATTAATAACTAATTCGGAAAATTCAAAACGTTGGCTCATCTGGAATAATACGAAGGAAAACCGGATGAAATAGGAAGAGGAAATCGGAGGAAGGAAGGACGACGGCGGCAATGCAGAAAAATTTTTTTTACATTTAAATCGAAATGATGAAAATAATAACAAATATTTATGTTGGCCAACCTGAAAACTAAAATTCACATATATATATATATATATACGTATACGTAAATTTTCTTTTCCCCCGTGCGTGTGTGTGTTTTTTTTATTTTTAGTTGACCGGATTTTATATATGTTTTACTCGTAAATTTAAATTCAATTTATAATTTTTTTATTTTTTAAAAAAATATAAAAAAACCTTTTTCGCAACGTTTATTTTCATTAACGCGTCATTTTTCTTATATTATTTTTTTTATTTGTTTTATTTTATTTTCTTTTAAAAGCATAACCTAACTTTATAAAAATTTTCTTTTTGTTTTTGTTTTTAAGTATCACTCGTTTAATTATTAATTTATTAATAAAAAAAAAAAATAGGAAACGTAAACTTTTGTAATTAATTTAATAAATTTTTCAATGCGATTCCGACATTGAATATAATGTTAAAAAACGCGGCGACGCTCGTAACATTGGCATTAAATATAATATTGATTTTCCGAAGGTAAAATTTTACAAAAAAAAAAAATTTCTATCTCTCTCTCTCTCTCTCTTTCTCTCTTTCTTTTTCCGTTTTTTTATGTAAAGAGTTGCGCACTTTGATGAATGATATCAGTGACCTAGAAAAATTTCACTTGAAAATATTTAATTTTTATTTATTTATTTATTTATTTTAACAATAAATAATAAATTATAAACTTTTTTAAAAACGGGGGGGGGAAATGTATACATATATATATATATATATATATATATATATTTCGGCTCGAATGGCGTCCGACATGTTAAAAAAAGGTTCCTCTTTTGCCCCGTAATGATCTCATAAAAAATCTCTAAAATCATTTGGAAAATTGTCGCTTAATGGATTCCAAAAAAATAATGGAGTGTCATTGCGCGTGACATGTGACATTCGAAATAATTACATAAAAAAATAAATTAAGTAATTATAATTACAACTACCAGTGTTAAAAATACGGATTAAATTATTATTATTATTATTACTTTTTTCCCATTATAATAATAATAATGATAATTTGTCGTTTCGCCTTAACGAAATTTATGTAATTTCATACAGGAAACGAGGATTTTCGTTAACAACTAACCCCCCCCCCACCGTGAAAAGAAAAAAATTTTTTTTTTATTAATTGCGTATTTGCCTGTTGAAATAAATTATTTGTCGGACTCGACAACAACAAAAAAATTATTTATTTATTTATTTATTTAATATTCTCAACAAGGAATGTTATTAAATGTAAATAATGAAAATTCTTTTATGTTTTTTATTCGTGTGTGTGTGTGTGTACACGTATGTATTTAAACAAATCAAACACACACACACATACGTGAGTAATTGTTTAGCTTTAAATTAACATGTAAAAATTTATTACACGAATAATAATATTTATTTATTTAACAAAAGTTAAATAAAATCGTTAAATATTTTTTTTTGACTAGTTTGAAAAACGAACGCGTGAGGGAGTTGTGATCGTCGATGCGAAATCTAGCGTTAAGTTTTAGAATTAAATTTAAAAAAAAAAACGGTAGTGATAAAATGGAATGTTAACGGTTGTGTTACAGAAAAATAAAATTATTGTGGTACAGAAGTGAAGAAATGATTAATGAAATGCGTAATTATTATCATTCGAAAATTAAAGTTTGTTGTAAGTAATAATTCACGTGGGTGGCGTATGATTAAACAGAAAAAAAAACGTTAAAAATAATTTGTTTTTAAATTAACGGTCATCGACGTCATCAACATGGCAACCTCTCGAAAGTTTTTTTTGTTTCGAGTAAGCGAAGTGTTAAACCACAAAGAAAATACTTTTTTCATCATTTTATTATTTTTGCCGTTATTAATATGCAACTTCGAAGAATTTATAAAAACTGTCGTTATGTGAGAAAAAAATAAAACGGCTGACAATTTGGTGAAGAAAAAAAAACCGTTAAAGAATTCTACTTACAAAAAAAATATTTACGTTCGATTCGCGAATAAATAAACAATTTCGACAGCGTTTACATTCCAGAAAAAAAAATACGGGAAAAGGTCAATGCCGAGGTCATATTCGACCATTAGAAAAAATTAAATTTGTCGACAATAGTATGTAACACATCCGGTGTGTCGCCACTTGATTAAAAATTACATATTTTTTTTTTCAGGTTATAAATTTTAACGAAAGATGTCGCTTTCATCGATACCCGTATTCTCTCAGGTTTAACGTCAGGTTCGTCATCATTTCCACGATAAGGTAATTCTTTTTTTTTTAAATTTTTCATTTTTTTTAAATTTTCTTTTTTCCCGCCATCGATAGTTTTTTTTAAAAAACATTTTGTATAAATTTATTTAAATTAAAAAATCCTTCGCGAATGTTCAAATGCTGGATTCTTTAACGTATTTTTTTTATTGGGGGGGGGAGAAGGGAAACATTAGAGATGATTTGATGTCGTGGTTTTAGAACGTTTTAATTTTATTTATTAATAACGAACAAGTAACAATTAATAAATTACAAAAAAAAATTAAATGGTAACATCTTTTTGTTATTATTATTATTATTATTATTATTCTCGGTCAAGGCGAATAACTCGATCAACCGGTCCGGAAAAAGAATTATACTAGTTCGAAAAAAAAAAAAAAAATTAGGTTATTTTATATAGTTTGTAACAGGAAGAAAAATACACGACGACAGCAGACGAAAAAATACCGGGAGGGGGGAGGGAAGGGAGAGAGAGAGAGAAAGAGAATAAGTAATGGTCAAAAAAATAGTTAGCCTACTTTTTAATTTTAAAAAAAACAACAACAACAACAACAACAAACGACGACTTTATCGTTTCGTATTAATTTTTTGTAAATTTAAATAAAATTTCAAACGAACTTCTTATAAAGACCGAAGTGTACATTCAAGATTTTTAAAAAGACTTAAAACGACATAGGAAATACGTTGTTAAAAAAATTCATTTTAAATTAATTTTTGTCAAATTGTGTTCGTTTGAGAGATTTTTTTTTTTTTTTTGTGTAGAAAACTTGAATCAAAAACGAAAACGAGTTTCTTTATCATCGGTGAAATGATCTCGTAAGGTTTGCGTTTTTTTTTTTTTTTTTTAAATTTTGTTTTCGTAAATGTTTTTGTTTGTTGTTTGTTGGATTTAACTAACAAACGGTTTCGAACGATTCATTAAAAACAACCGTTTTAAAAACTGACCACGGCGTAATACAGGGGTGAGTGAATTTTACGAATTTCTTTCAAAAAAACTTTTTTACGCATATTTATTTATAAAATAATAATAATAATAATAATGGCGATAGAGATTAATTCAAAGACTTTATGATAACGTTCAATTTAACTGATATCATATTTTTTTTTTTTTTAATCCAATTAAAATTTTTTGTAGTTTATCATCTTTGACACGATTTATGAAAATTTTTTTTTTCTATAGGCGAAAAATTCAAATAGTTTTTGTTGTTTGTAGTGAGTTTGTTAGAGTAACAAACAATTACAAAAAAAGTTTTGTAAATTTGTTTGTATGAAGTTTTAAAAAAATTGAATTTGAATTTGCTGGCAGGAAAAAGAAACAAAAAAAAAAATTGGCAATTTAAACAAGTTTAAAAATTTAAAACAAACTACAGCCAAAAAAAAAAAAAAAAAATTTTCTTTTCATTTTTTGTTTGTTTGTTTGTTTAAAAAATTTTAAATAATTTATTTTATTAATATGACGTTTAAAAAATTATTTAAACAAACGATAGGGGAAACGTTTTATATTACAAAACGATTTTAATTGTTTTATAATCATCATCATCATCGTCGTTTGTCGTAAAGTTTGACATTTAAAATTTAAATGCTACGGGAAAATGATACGGGAAAAGGTTACGATAAGGTTCTCTTAAAAACACCTTTTTTTAGCCTTAATAAATATTAAAAAAAAAAAGGGGGAAAGAAAGAAAAGGTTTCGTCATATTACCTTTTCAAATTTGAAATTTTTTTAATAATAATAATAATAATCGTTTGTTTGTTTGATTTATTATCGGAAAAAAGAAAATTTTTTTTTTTTTTGAAAATTTGAATTATCATCATTATTATTATTGATAACCGTTTTTTTTTTTAATACGATGATTAACAATCGTGAAATTATTTTCGAAAATCGACATTTCCGTGTGTGAGACAATCAAAAAAAAAAAAAAAAAAACGTTAAAAAAATTTTTTTTTTTTGGAGGGAGTGGGGGGAAATTAAACATGCCGGAAAAGAAATTTTATCGAGGAAATTATTAGAACAAACAAACAAACAAACAAATAAAAAATTTTCACAAATTATAGATTTTTTAAGTAAACGCCTTTTTTTTTTTTTTTCTATAAGTAGGTTGTTCGGAAGTGAAAGAAAATTAAATAAAAAAAAAATTTACAGGTGTGACAGAAACGGCAAAATAATAATAATAATTATTTTATTTATTTATTTATGTAAGTACGTATGTATACATAAAAAAAAAACTCGTTTTAAATGTACCTTGTTTCGACCATGAAAATAATAATAATAATCGTAAACGTTTAAATTTAT